TAACCATTTAGTGAATTTGAATAACTTTACGCTACAGTGGTTCAAGTTACTTATAAAAGTTTGAAATTTCTGGTAGCTTTTTTTCTGTTAATAAAAATAAATTTAATCTGTTCGGTCAACGAATCTCCATAAAATGACGTGTGAAATTTCAATAACATTTTAACGGTTTAGTGAATCGATTTGTAATTTTTACAGGAGTTTTAGAATTGAATGTGGAACGTTCTTCCAAATTTTTATTTGTCTCGTAGCATTTTGACATACCTCCCAAACATCCTTAATGATGTGGGTTGTTCTAGTTTCAGGGAAATGCGAAGATTAGCTGAGGATAGGAAACAGTGGAGGTGCGTGCCCAACTAGTCTTAGGACTGACGACCTTATGATGATGAAGAATATTGAATTGTGGAACCAAACAAAAGATAAGGTAGGTATACAATGGAAAATATAAATTTGATTTTGTGCTGCTGCCTTATTCACACATGACGCCTAGACGGAAAAAATTAATAAAACGAATGTGCAACATGGCAAATTTAATATTTTATTAATTTCATCCGACGGGAGACCGTTGGATTTAATGCGTAAACGATAGCGTAAAGAAAAACTAATTTCAAGACAAATTTAACATTAGACGTAGTCACATATATATGTAGGTATGTTTCGACGTTGTACACAATTACGTTTGTCGTGAAAATAAATAATTTCAATTGACAGAGCATCCATAACTCAGACTCGATTAATTACGGAATGCACGATAACACACGCACAAAAATACACGTAGCGGTTATGTACGGAAGCACTAGGCCATTATACAATCTCGTAAAATATGTTGACTACGTGAAAATGAAATTGGCTAAGGGAATTTTAATTACAGTTATTAAAAATTAGCTGTCAAATCAAGCGGTTTTCTGTTAATGAAATTCAACGATTCCGCTTGAACAGACAGTGAAAATTAATGGGGACACTACTTCAGATGCGCAGTCTAATGATACGGAAGAACTTAATGCCGAGATTCACTTTCGAATCAAATCGACACTAATTTATCAATTATGAAAGCGTCTAATTACATTCAATAATTCTTTTCATATAAATGCGTATACACACACATATATATATCGAAGCAAACCTACAGTAAATATCGTTAGTTTGGGCTGTACGCATCAAAATCAAACGCAATTCCTACTTATAATAACATTTAAATAAATTGACCAAACTGTTGGTACATGATAAGCAAATATATGAACCATTAATATTCACCTTGAAGAACGCAAAGGATTTTGCTCGCCTAAAAATGAATTAAG